TAGGTATAGAGACAAATAATTGTACACGATAACATGGACAGCGGAATGTCAGCATTTTTCATTTTTATCTTGTGAGTTTGATAGTCAAGCTGTTTCAAATTAAATAGGAATGGAACGATAAACTCAATCTATCGGTTTGTGACCTATTTGGACCGATTTCCACACCCCCCCAAGGCAAACAAACTAATTGCAGGCTAATTTCCGACAAATTGATTCCTGTTACACATGTCAGTGAGCCTCATTTGCACTTTTATAGCGGCCATGTTACGAAATTACTGTTTTTCTAGAAACGACTGATGTTTCACAAGGCAGAACAAAAGGATCCATTGATAGTATAAGGTTGGTACAGCTTTACCGAGGCCTTGAATACAGTGGACTTTGCTACCACCCATTTGGTCAGACGAGTGATTCTACCACACTGATGCGAATTTAACTCGTTTAACCCAGGAATGCAATTGTTTAGGCGTTCATACATTTAATTGTCTCCCTCTCTAATCCTTGTAATTCTCCAAATGCCTTTAGTTTTTTTCGAAATTTCTCGCTACAGGAAGGGGCTACTCACTTTATAAAGGCGACGTAGGAACAGAGCAGTATACCGCTCCTGACAAAGATTTGTAGGTACCCTAATTTGTACAGTTTATGCCTGGCTATAATTTTAGTGTCAGTCAACATTTATTTGAGATTTTATCCTGTTAGTGAAGCCGGCCGATGCTGAAAAGCCGGGGGGAGGGAATCCTCAGCAGTGCGCATCTCACGAGATCAAGCGTATCAAACACGCAGGCGTCCGGCCAGTGGTTGAACAATTAACGGTTTGGCCACCCGCGGCAGAACAGCAGTGTGAGTAGCTCTCCCCTAGACAGGATATAAGACCACTCGATTTATCAGAAGAAAGCTAACTCCACAAGATGAATGAAACTTCCATCTTAGAATTCGCCCCTCGAGCAGCAAGTCTATATGTAACCTCGTGATTTGATTAGAAGCATGAGATGTGCCAGTTAGTCACACTGTGGATTGGCAACTCGTGACCCAGTGGCCGAAAGGTCGGGGGTTCGAGGCTTTTTTAGGTGCAAACTGCCGATGATTCCGAGTGTAGTTCGATTCGGTTCGTTGAGCGATCACCGATGTTTTACCAAGCGCTTCTGAAAGCATCCCCGGATTCATTTCGGTATTGCATGAGGAAAAACGAAAAATTCATCGAGGACTTAAAGTCAGGCAGCAGATGTGCACAATTCCAACAACAATATTGCTTCACAACTAATTCGCTGTTTGGGACAGGGACTTTATGTAAGGAAACTGATAAGATTAGGCGTCTCCACTTTTGTTCATCGAGACTCTCATGTATTAAGGAGTACCGACCAAAAAACCGATTGAAAAGGAACTTGGTGGAATTTCGTGGCCGTCTTGTGGTTGTGTGAAGATCGGCTAAGAAGTGATACGATTGTCTTTAACATTTATGGATTGATCAAGTAATTTTTCGTGTCTCCAGGACAGCCAAGTACTAAGCTGATGGGTGGATATGAGACTGAATTCGTTCAGCTGGCCGAAACGTCTGACTGTCATTGTGTTGTGCCGATTAAAAGGACATTGGTTGAGCATTCCTCATGTGTTGGAATGGAAGCCACATTGAAGTGTGTACGCATGGTTGAAGCTATAGCTTAACTCTCACATCAGACGGGAACCACAGAAGAATTATATTGTGTACTAACCTAAAGAACTAACGCACTATCGAGTTAAAGTGTGACGAAATTCACCAGTGCTAATTTTGTCGACAGAGATACCGCTGCTTTGAAGCCCACCACTCACCAAACGATCACAGGTGAACATTCAAACACGGGCACATATTGGAAGAGGTTTCGCAGGTTTGTGACTGTGAATTTCACATAACCAACTCACGAAAGATCCGCTGTTCCCATCCTGACACGCTAAATCGAGTGCGATTTCAAGTAACGGACCTTGGCTCAGATCGAGACCGCATCTTCTGACTGTACGACGAGAAAGTAGTGTAGCAAGTTAAAAATAAGCCTTCAGAATTCTACATCATCGCAGTCAAATCATCTAACCTACCATCCGAAGACGGTCCGCGTATATGGAGACATTTGCTAGCTCCGCCGACCGGCACGGGATCGTCTCTTTCGACCTCAAAGTTAACCTATCTACATTAATATGTTCGCTCCATACAGTCATCTGCATACCAATTTTGGTTTTGAAGGGAGACTCAACAGGAATCCAGTTGAATCGCTCGGTTAAGATGTTTTCAAACGATTGAGTGTGCTGCGCCAGGCAGCCTCATGTTTCCGTTGGTACGATATTCGAAATATTGCGATGCATGTATAGACGTAATACACTACTCATAAGGTTGCTGAAAACTCTTTGACAGCCCACGGCCGATTTAGTCCTTCCTCGGGGTCATCAGGTAAGCGCGATCCCCGTATTCCCGTCAATTTAATGTTCTAGTTGAAGCCAAATCGTACGAACTTCTACTTGTACATTCATTTGCATATTAATTTGTGGCAAACGGTAGATTCACCTAGAATCCAGTTAAATCTCTTGTTTATGTTCGAAATGACAAGAATATAGTGAGAGAGCTCAAAGGCATGTGGCCTGTAGCACTAACACACTTCGCATTTTTTCTCGAATGACCTAGGTTTACGTCTGCCACATTGGATATTGCTGACTTTTCAATTTTGATCTGTACCTCATAGGTTCGTTATCTTGTTAACGTGTACGTGAATGACCGACTGCCTGTATCTCAAGGGACGTGCGTATCAAGCCACAGTGCGGACGGCTTTGTTGGATGTGTATGGCTGCCGTATGGCTGTGAGACTAAGCCTGTTCGAGCAGCGGAACTGAGACGCCTTCAGGTGTTCGACAATCGTTGTCTGAGAACCAAAGTTCGTGTGGGTTGGTGTCTGTGTATCCGTAACGGTTTTGCAACGGGTACTTCCACCGAAGAATGTGTCCAGCACCAGAAGCTGTGTTGATTGGGACATGCGTTGCGTATGCCGAACCATTGTTTGCCGAAGAGAGTGCTGTTTTCCATGCCCAACTCTGCGTGGCTTNATCTAGATTGCCTGAGTGAATGTCTGGAGGTGTAGGCACCTCGGCTGATTGTGGCAAGTTAGCACTAATTCCCTTCCCTCTTCACCTTTGTTCCTTTCTTCACAATAAAGCTTTCAAGCAAATCATGGTTGTAGGGCAGCGAAGCAGTGGTGATGTCATGATGTCGATGAACTGCTGAAGCATTGGTTTCTATTACTTAAAAGGCGCACTTCGTTCGGAGAGGAAGTGCGAATGGAGACCGGTGAACGAAGCGACCGACAGATGGACATTGCATGACCTAACAGTAAATTATGATTACTCTCACCAATAAATTCAATCGGATCAATAACTGCCGTCTCCCTGAAAGGGAATCCCGAGACCCAACTCATCAATGGCTAATCATACTGGTAGGCATGGTTCAATCACGCCGTCAGTGCCGCTCGTACATCAGAGCTATCGCCTTCAATGTGCAACCGCCCAGTTTTGCGGAATGACGGATCATACTTGGCAACGGTTAACACATTCCTTCATTTTCCGATAGCGGAAACTGTAGCAGCTGAAACCAACACACCCTTTCTTCATGGCTCGCCGGTGGTCCCTTGAAGCGTTTATCTGAAGCACAATGCTAGACGCGACCAGAACTCTTAGGCCATTCTCTTAGGGCCAAAATGCGATCAGATGAGCGGTATTCTCAAGTTTCGCGTACTAACAAAACCATTGATTCCAGCTGCACAAGTCGTTGGACAGTTTCCAAGAAGTAAATGATGAATTTCTACACACCAGAAAAAAAAACAATTTAGTTGTACGTCACAATTCAAATATAGTACGTACATGAAGATTTCCGTACCCCAAACGAACACGCCAACGACTGGGCTCTTGGGTGCTGGAGAGTGGGTGCAAAGACGTTGTATGAGAACAATGAATTTTTGTTTTTTTTTAATTTTCAACAAAACTTGTAGTGAATCCTGTGTAACTTACTAGTAAAAACAATGAGATGCTGTGACGATCCAGCGGGAACTAATCAGTGATCCGCCACACAATGGTAGGTAGTTAATCTTGAAACGGGCCAGAAGACCAGTGTTCTCGTCAACTTGAAGCGAGACTGCCCAAAGATACTTCGCATCGTCAACCGGTGCGCCACCAATAATGCGTTTCACCATGGAAAACTGGTGTTCAGAAAATGGGGGAACTAAGTTTTGGGGAAAAAAGAAAGGGAAAAGTACTTGAGGTTAGTATGAAATAGGGGGAAATGTGATCCGGTACCTGCTAGCTGATCAACGGGTGGTCTGCATGAACCCTCTTTATCACTTGGGAACACCGCTACTCGGCTCGATGAAGCACTGATATTGAAGACTTGGAAAGTCACCCAGTAAATAACTTCGATTCGAAAGTCGGGAACACAGTTTTGCTTGGTCCTTCGATTGTCAGCATATTCGGTCTACATTTGTACTACATCATACATACTATCAATATTGAAAAATGGACCCAAGCACAAACGACAATTGTGTCATCGCGCTCCGAACCCGGTAGACTTTGTTCGCCAATTTTTACTCTTGGTGCAATCAGGAGCTCGACAACGAAAGACCACATACTCAGTGACATAGCTCAGTGATTAGAGCGCGAATTTACTGATCAGAAGGACCATGGTTCGAACCCGACCTCTGCTTATCGACCTGCGCTGCCTAGGCTTGGGGAACCTGTCAGTGTCCTAGTCTTCGTGTTTCCTTTTGGTGACATGGCAGCTCGGTACCAAAACGGTGTTACAGCTGAACGAATTTACGATCACATTCTGGGCTAACTACAACTTCTGCGTCACAAGTTATGTTGGATTTCGTGAATAACGCTCCGTCTTTGGTCTTTGGGCATTCGAAGAAAATGATTGAACCAGCGAGGTCTGAGCTCTCCGGTGGTTGGTCTGTTACTAAGCCCATATTCGACCCAATGCCGAATATACGGTATCACTTAATCTTACTGATTATCCGATCAGTTGAGTCACTCGTTATCATCAATGTAATTAACACAAAAACATATTAGGCCCACTGCGACATGCAGTTTGGAGTTCAAGTAGAACGCAAGGTAGTGGGACCTCTGCAACTGTACCACTTAAAGCCGTTCATACGCTCTCAGAGCGTTCATAGAAACGCTGCTACGGATGTGTTCTGCCGAGAATATTTCGTCATTATTCGTACTTGGGACAATAATGAACTGGGAAGGTGGTCAGACACTCAATTTCGGTTAGCATGTTACCCTGTAGAAGCTCTAGCACCACTCCCCCCCCCCCGGAGTACCCCTTATTTCATACAAACAAGATGGAAGGAAACGACATCAAGTGACGTACACAGTGCTTGAGTTGGTTGTTGTGCTAGAGCCTACAACGCTAGCAAAATACTGACAGGCTTGTATTGCACATTTGCTGTACTCTTCACTTGATAGTAGTGTCTGGACGTTGTTGCTCATATCCATAGGAGGTAGAATAAAAAAAGTCTTATTTGATAATGTCTTTTCAGAAAATTGCTTTAGGATAACAAAAAAGACACGCTTCTACATGATCATTTTTATTGACAGTCACCGACACGGAGCTGAATTTGAGTCCACACTGAAGATGCCTTCAAGACATACAAAACCGATCGGCAGCGATCTAATGGATGCGCACACGTATACCAATTTTAATACTATCTTTACGTTCACACCACTGTCGTTTGAACGGTCTTCTTCGTGTTTTGGCGTCCTTGTTCTGGTTGGGATTCAGCAAACAGGAGACACACCGGACTAGAGTTTCGCGCCTATCAGAGTTACTGCACCTGTACATATTGGATGTGCTTGAACTATCCCGTTCGAACAGGCAAACCTGTTTACGCTTGAACAGTGTGAATGATTGGTTCAATGGGTCGAACTACAACCCATGTGACAGTTTTGACTGACAGGCCTGTCTGAACTATCCAATCAGGAAACGCTTGAAATTCCTAGGACAACCATTGTATGTGATCATGAGCTTTATGGAATTTGCATCCCAATTCTTTTCGTTTGAACAGTCTGCCTTCAGATGCTTGATCACCAAAGAGCTTAACTCGAATCGGGCCAAAAACTTGTACACTTTTCGGACATTGGTACTGTCCACAACAATTCACCGGCAACATTGTGATATCGGGTGAAAATGAAATCGGTTTGCAAGGCTAACACCAAATAAAACCATTCAAGGACAGGGTTTCCAGAAGTAGATTTACGCATCACAGAAAAAGATTTCACGAGTTCCACCTGTAACTCCGGAAGTTTGACCAGTGGAACAAGTCACTGGTAGTTTGACAAATAAGTGGATTTGAGCAATGGATTGGGGCTTGACGTTTAGTCTATTACACTCAGAATTTAAGGAAACCAGAATTCTGCGAGTCGAAACTTGCGCTAGTACAATTTTTTTTGAAATCCTAGGAATTTAACAGAAATCCATAGAAAAATGACGAATCAAGCCTTACCACATCTTGTATCACAAAAGCATACTTTGGTTGTAAGCTAGCATCTTGTTGGTTAAAATCAAGTAATGTTTTTTTCGCTAAACCATAGTCCTGGTTTTGCGTCTGTCAACAGCTCGATTGTGTGTGGTAGCCCCAGAGGTACTGGCAACTTCGAAACGTTCGTTACTGTCGGTGAATCCGTCGGGACATCCACCAGCTCCTACCACGTTGGCAACGTGTTTCGGTTCGGGACCTTAAGGTGTGTGTGTGTGCGCGCATCAGAGTTCTAATCTGCACTAGTGGCACAGATTTGTTAAAGTCCATTTACTGCCCAGGTCACGTGGGCTTTGTGTATACAGATCTCTGCAACCAATCCGTTGATAACTTGGCACGACCAACATCCAAGAAGTATCAACCATGAACTGAATGGTGGCATAGGTGAGTTTTAGAAAAAAAACATTGCAAGAAGGCAGCAACTCCTGCATGGCATGTCACCCACGAATCCACTGACCACATCATCCAAGTGTGAAAATTAGTGAACTTCTTCAATAGTATAACTGATCAACCGCTAAATTCTTTTGTCTATATATCTGTCTGTTTTTTTTTAAAAAAAACTCCACTTTCAACAGTTGAGTAGCATCTAATGTGTGGCCAAATTCAAAAAGCCTGTGCCCCAAAATATCAAAGCATGAATACGAGGATTGTACACTTTCTGAATGTATAGGACAGATCGAATGCAGACAGGTCTTGAGTTCGAAGTCCAACGTCAGCCACAGTGGACACTATCAGCTGCTTCATAATCTCTCTGTTGGTGAATTTCAGTAACTCTATGTGAGCCCCTCAGAACAGCTATGAAATGATATAGAGAAGTCGTTCACTATTTGCACTACTCATGATGTCGTGCATGAGTAGTGTGTGCTTGTGAGTAGTTATGCTTCATCCATGTGACCTATTCGCAAACGGTAATTGTTCGCTAGCAGGATTTTGTTTGCAACCAGTATACCTGGTCAGATCTGATTATGTAGGTCCAAAGACCACACAGATGGGACTTCAACGCTTCTCAGTCCTCTGAAGCGCGAGAAATATGTTCATAATTACACCATATCCCCATTTTGATTTTTTTAGTACCTGATCCTTCAAGTTCACCTAGTCTGCTTGCATGTAGCTGTAATTTCAAGCGATTGGGCTGTACAGCTTTACGAATTTTGTCATTACTTCAATAGTAACATAGTATTAGTAACAAACAGTCAGGTTTATTGATTGTTTGTATACATACGCAAAAAAAACTAATCAAATCAAGAGCCATATTGGTTCAATACACGTTGGTAACATCATTCATACAAAACTCATCCAACTCACTTGATACATTGGTCAAGTTCTGAGGGACAACGACCGATGAGCACACAAACTGTACACTTGTAAGTAGCGTTAACAACAACATTGTACTGATTAGAAAACAGGTGCTTTGAAATGAATGCCTATTCTCACAAAGAACCACCCGTTGTTTTTATACGTCCCACAGTAACTTAAGGTCGTTGTGACACTTGATCCGGGAGGCAAAAACAACTGAACCAGACATCATCAACTGTCTTCGGTCGGTAAGATGAACATTGGATTCAGACTGAAGTGGGACCACCCATCTGGTGAACCCGAGGTGTTCCTATGGCTACCTGACATTGGAATCACGCGTGTGGTCTGGAACGCATTCGTTCTGGCATGCATGAATCTGTAACAGTCAGATCCCTGAAGTCTGACAATCAGCCAAGTCGGTACAAATCAAAACATCCAGTTGTTGTTGTTGCATGCGAATGAAAAACGAAATTCCAGAAATGAGCCTCGGTTGATAACTGGACGGAACTTGCGCCTTGAGTGTTGAGAACTCTGAGTACAGTAGAGTCCACATCGGCATTTGGAACGGGTCACAGTCCTTGGTTTTTTTTTCGATCTCAGTCCGTATCGTGCGTGGACTGTTTCGAGATGCGAGTAGGCTGAGTACAAAGACTTGCCAAAAGCATACAAACAACACTCATCCGTCCTAAAAACCTGAATCTTTTCGTACCACTGTGGCAATCTTTAACCTGCTACGTAAGATTCTGGCAACCGTACATCATCCACATGTCATGGCAGAGATCAGGCCCGTGACAGTTTACTGCCTGCCCTCTCTCATCACTAAGAGCTTTTTACTTGCTTGTCCGTTTATAAGAAGATGTAATTAGCGAAATACACTCATTTGCAAACAAATTTGGTTTTGCGAGAAACTCACCTGGAATCCAGCTAAATCTCTCGTTTGTAATGTGTCCAGGCCGTCTCATGTTTCCGTTGGTACGATATTCGACATACCACGATACGTGTATAGACGTAATACACTACTCATAAGGTTGCTGAAAACTCTTCGACAGCCCACGACCGGTTTAGCCCTTCTTCAGGCTTATCAGGTAGGCGCAGTCCCCAAGTTTCCGTCAACCTTATGTTCCACTTGAAACCAAACTGCAAGAAATTAGCGAAATACACTCATTTGCAAACTAATTTGGTTTTTCGTTCGCTGGTTTCGTTCGTTAATATCGCTAGCAGATTCCAGCTTGAGTACATCCGGTTCTCAAAAAGCCCATTTCTGCCTATTTAACAACCAAGTGTAGTTCCCATTTAGTGAAAGACACCCTTCCTGCCCAAAAGGGAAAGTCTACACATTTTCGTGGTCGTCATAAGCTCAGTGCAAAGCTAGGGTATCTGCACGCATTCGGGAGGCAGTTTGATGATTATTTTGGCCTGAAAACCAGACGTATTAGTAGTCCTTGAAGCCTTTTGCATCTCTGTACTAAAAGTCCACTGTTTCCTAGTAGCACGGCTGTAATGAAGGTACTGTTGCGCCAATTTTTATTCCTTTATTGAAAAGCGTCTAGGTCACTCGGAGCTCACTGTTGACACCCACCGAAGGTGAGGCTCATTTCCCAACAGTCGATACTTGTGGAACACTCGCATCGATTCAGGGCACGGTCGTCGATGACCGTAAAATTTCGGCAAATCTCTCCAGAAAACGTTCAGTCAGAGAAAATTTCTGACCCATGGCCTGAAAAAAAAAATATTAGGGCGTTCTGTGCAAATCCTTCAAAGCTGAATCCCCGGAGTAGACGTCGACTCTAAATAGTTGAGGGAAACACCGCCGTCCGTACAATACGAAATCCTCCATATGCTGGGCCCCCAACCAATAGACTTTATAATTCATTGTGTTCGCTTTTTATGCTAGATGCAACATAATGCAGCTGTACTTTTAGACACCAGTGGGAGCATAACCCACGTTCGGACAGAGAAATCCGGAGACCCTGGAGAAAGGGGAAGCTGTTCAGTGTGCATTGGTCGAAGATATTTCATCTCATGCACAAAAGAGGACACTAGGAACCACTTTTTATTGAGGTGACCAGATAGTATGGTTAAAATATAGTAAACAAAAAGAACACTTCCATCTACACAACATTTTAGTTGGCCGTCCGCTCCTGTATGTATGTCTTTCACCCGACCAAATCAGATTTACTCTTAGTGGACGAAATACACGTATGTCCTGCTGCTCTGGGCCACATGTTCTAACATCTGGGCCAAATGTTCTAACATCGGTGATGTTCAGTGACAGTGCTGGAACTCTGAATTCCGACCTCATACTGATTTGGGAACATGAATACGTCCCGGAAAAAAAACAGGGAAATTCATTATACCTATAGTATACGGAATCATACATGTAACCAAAAGTGTATTAATTACAGTTATTGAATGTTGACCAAAGTAGCCAAATGTATGGGGTAGTTGGTGTGTATCATCAGGCGACACGATGAAGCTGGATCGGTTCAGTTATAGGAATCGAGCTAATCTTGTCGGTGCACGCAGTTCACGTGTGAAACATTGGATGGCATTAGCCTAAGCCGACAGCTTACAAGCAGCCTTGTGGCACGTTTTGTTAAGCAGTGTACGGACCAACTAAGTGCCACGAGTTAACCGACCGGGGGGGTAGAATGGAACTATGGATTTACCACTACCTTCCATAAAGGGTCACTTTCGGTAATGTTCTCTAGGTTGCTTAGAATAAAAGGTCGCGCCTATATCAGTTGCAACACACACGCGCTTGAATCCATAAACAGCTATCTAAGAGGTCGGCACTGGCAGACTGTCTTTATTTTCCAGCACCGAAGTTAGCCGCGTTGAACATAGATCATACAGTTGCTCAGAGAACTCCGGTCAACACCTCGGCTACCGAGTCGTCCTTGAAAGGAAGCGTCAGAAAGAGTTGTTTTAATTCATTTGTTTCAGTTACCACGGTCTCGGTTCTTTTCAGAATATTACTGGAGATGAGCCGATCAGGATGACTTTTTCAGGGTGTCCAGGGCGTTCCAGCCTGCCACCCAAATACATTCATCGAACTGTTGAAGCTAAACAGCTCACCAGGGCTCTTTTCTGTTTCAGAGGGGTAAAATTATCAAGTGGCTTCCTTAAATACAACCATCGGTCATTCTTGTCAACAGTACGTTCGAATCGGAATCGACTTAGGACTCCCAGCTGCAGTTCATGAACACAACAAAACATATCGTCAATATGTCTACCGGCGAATTGTGATACATCTTCCATCAGCGCTTCGTTCTCAAGTTTCACCACGTAAAAATCAGCCAGTAGGGGATTAACTGCAACGCCTGCCCCAGTTAGAGAATAAAGCTCAACCCCAGCTGTAAAACGGCTACAATAACATTCGGGAATCTAACCTTACCATGTAAAATGCCTGTCCAAGGTCATCGGGCAGGCTATCGAATAAGTAGCGAATACTTTAGCCACATCTTCGGATTACTTCAAGTGCTTGAGCATGACCTTTAATACCACCGACCGAAAATCGTGGTTTAAAGAAAATCCCTTAGCCGTGACACCTTTCCGATGCCTAGTTTGCATGCTACCCGAAACAAGCACGAGGGCTGGGATACTGTCAGGCTGCCCAAGCCTAGACAGGGGAAGTTGAGAGGCAGAGGTCAGATTCGAATCACGAACCTTCCGGTCAGTTAATTCGCGCTCTAACCACTTGAGTCATCTCGCCTCATCGTGATTTACCTTGAATTGAACTTCAACCCCGTGGACTGGTTCCTTTACATAAACTTGGCCAGACATCAACGTATCCACTAAACTACCAAAAAGTCGTCTTCCCAATGGTCGTCAAGACTGCCTTCACTCTCACCTTTTGTTCATTTTTTCATCGGCCTTAACGTTGAGACCATGCTCAAACGGACCGCGGATATGCACAGAGAAATCACAGTTGAAGAATGAGCGGTAGATCAGATCACACGTCCGTACAAAACTGCTCTAGGTGAAAACTCAGAATTGGTCACTTGTTTCGGCGAGTTCCTTCAAACGTCAAAGTGTAAATCTGACTTCAAGATTTCCCCCATCCCCTCATATACCTTTAAAATTTCAGAGCGAAATCCGATTCACAGGTCTTGATAGTTTCATTGTGATTGAAGCATTCAATGCATACACCATCAAGGCACGAGCTCTCTTTGGCTGATCGGTGTTTAAAAAACAACTAATGACAGTAGTCTCAATTCAATTTTGTTGAACTTGGCCCAGGCGGCTACTGTAACGCTCAGGGTATGAATACCTTCGGACATTCCCGAACGGGATTCAAGTGATTTTTCTTGCACGCAGCTCGAAACCAAAACGGGGAAGGCATGCAATCGATTCCACTGACGGATTTGCCGCCAACTGTTCAGTTAGATATTGTGGCTGTGAGCTTGGTTCCTTTTTGGTGAGGTGAGATCGCTGATGGTGTCTTACCCAAACAGAACGTTCAGATGTGCTCATCTTGGTCTCGAGATGACTTAGTGGTTAGGCCACGAACTTAGTGATCTGGGAAACCTTATAGTATTCCAGGTCTCGTGCTTCCTGCGAGTGATATGGCAGCTAAAACCGGAAAGCGCGTTAGAAATGAATGACTGTATTCACATGAATTCCGTTCGTAGGACTGGACATCTTGCAGGAAGATCCCCCGCTTTCTCTGTACTGGGGGTTCTTTCTTCATGCTCCTATAGAAGTAACGCATCAGTAATTATCATTAGTGTACTGCCGTCCATGCCGATTGTTAGGGGACAATATTACTTGGTGTCTTGTTATCGTTTGAACTTAGAATGGGCAAAATGGTTCAAGTGGTTGGAGCGCGAATTCGCTGACCGGAAGGTCCGTGGTTCGAACCCGACCTTTACCCCTCGACTTCTGTCTAGGCTTGGGCAACCTGGCAGTATCCCAGCCTTCGTGCGACCTTCAGGTGGCATGGCAGTTGAGCACCGAAAGGGTGCGGCAGCTGAACGTTTGAACTTAGATAAAAATGTAAACTTGAGAAAGTTAATAATAGCGTTAGGATATACAGCCCAACGAGTGGTTTGAAAGCAGAATTCACCCGTGGTGATATGATCTCAGCATAATTTCGGCGAACAGATTAAATAAATAACATATCTAGATAATGTCACAAAATTCTGTCCGACACCGACATCATTTGACACAATAGTGAGTATGGTACATGTTACCCGCCACTTCAAACGATCAGGCCGCAGGGCGCAGCTCGTAGTATTTGTCATGCGGTGAACCGATTTCAGGAACGAGTACACGACTTTCGTGAGGCCGGAATTCAATCTCACTAAAATCTCAGCCTACTTATGAGTAGTCAGGTTTATTTAACATAAACTTCCCGCTGAGACTGACAGATCTTATTCGATATTGACCTGTTGTCCCTGAACCATTATCCGGGTTATCACATCCCATTCATGAAAAGCGCACATTAAACATCCAGTCCTGATGATAGGGACTACCAAGGAAGCTACATGTCGTCATCATCGACAGCATGACATCAGTGTTCAACATCGATGCTACACTGCCGTACGGAGCCACATGTGGAGAACTACTGAAAGTAAAATAATGTGGACACGGACTTCAAGCCTTCCTGCGGTTTCGTTTGTGTTGATTTTCAGACAAACTGTAATGACATTGCGAGTTTGGTTACTGCCATGCACTGTCCTCCCCCATCCATAATTACACGAGGGTGAGAAGAGATAAAACCTGGAAACCGAAAGTTGATTCAGCTACGAAGAGTCAGCTTGGGGAAGACAATGAGATATAAAATCACTTGAATACTCACCCCTTTGGGGTCTCTGGAACGAACTGCTGGTCTGATTCCACAAGGCACGATGACGAACCAGTTATTCAGCTGCGCACCAGTCTAATTTCCACGGAAGATCCAGCTGATGTTCTGCTTTAACTGAGTGTGCGGCACAAACCCACCTCATATCTTAGTCGACATGATTTCTGAGATCACGGTCTAGACGGAACACACTACCAATAGAGTCGTTGCAAACTCTTCGACAGTCCACGACATGCCGCCTTTGGTGGTTCATTGTACGTACGATCTAGTTTCAAGCGGAACGTAAGGTTGACGGAAACTCGGGGACTGTGCTCACCTATTCCTCAGGAAGAGCGAAACTGGCCGTGGATTAAAAGCGACCTTATGAGTAGTGTGTTTCGTTTGGTAATCCAAATTATTTAGTTAGCCCACATATCCGATCATACGCAGTCAACGCTGGCAAGTACCTCCTCTCACGGCTACCCAAAATTAACCTGTGGTGAAAGCTCAAGCCTAGGTTTAACATCATTCAAATCGCTAAGCGAAAGACCGTGTGAAAACGACGTCACTCAGAAATTGGCGAGTTTTGATTGGTGGGGCAAAGCCAAGTCAGAGCTTTCTGCGCCGAGATTCACTTCCACGGATAACGAAGCTTCAACAAAACGCAACCGTTTTGGAACGTATACGGTTTGTGTGTACTTCAAAAATTCACAGAAGCCTCTTGATAGCAAACTGTCAAGTTCCTCCAACTTAAGTAAACACACTCTCGCAAAGAACGACTCTCGATTTCCCCCTGTAGTTCCCAACTAAACACGGCAAGACAGCTGTATTAGGCAAATGCTATCAAAACGTCAACGATTCTGAGAATTTTTCTTAAAGGACACGTTCCAGTTGAGATAGAAAGCCGCTAAAAAGTCAAAGTTTTATCGAATAGATGCAATCACGTTTCACATAAATACAGAATAGTCATAGGGGGATGGACTGAATGTTACACTCAGCCCAGTTCCATTGTCACGTCCTCATCACTGGTGTCAAGCGAACGACTAGGTGTCTCGGTCGGAACCGAGTGATAAATCACATCAAGCCGGAGTGCGTTCGCGGAGGATTTGGAAGTGGCGGAAACATCAGGTGACCGCTTTTTGAAACGAATCTTCTCCGACCCCGGAACACTTCCAGCCCCGGCCGGAGGAAGATGCTTCTGTGGAGGCGAGTCTGGTATATCTGCAAGGCATAGAGATATAAAACTACAGCTTTCGAAAAGGTGGAGAAAAACATCAAAGCCAACTGGGTTAGGAGTGACTACTAGATTAAATGGTTTTGTAAATTAGATGTAAGTAAGGATGGATGGCGACTGAAAGATCTCCAGATTGAAACAATGATTACGGTTCCATCGAACAGCATGTCTAAGGTAATCGGTGTTCGGATATTCCTCCAGCAAACTACCTAATTACTTAGCTATAAATGTCTTCTACGGGAGAATATGATGGGCCCTGAAGCGCCAAAACGCAAATTATGGGGAATTCGAAACATGAAAAGATGTTTCTGTTGTAACTTCGACCGTTCAGCCGATACATGCATGTCCAACACCACGAAAATGGATCCATGACCTTGAACAACCGAGACGCCGGTATCGGGAAGCTGTCTGGGGCAAATTGAAGCTTAAAAACAGAATGAAGATTCATTCATTCACGTGAACCTTGGTAACCGAAATTTTCTGAAAACAGACCAGGCTCTAACTGTATGATCGACTACGCTCTACCAAGGACCAAGCAGGCTGATTACGTGCCACATAACACGGTGGATAATGGCCGGTCTGAATCAGCAGGCAAAGTGCTGAGCTGTGGACCGACTCCCTGCCCTACTGAAACTGGAAAATGTTCACCAATCCTTTGACGTAGATCATGTTCTGTTCTGCTCAAGTGGTTGTCACCACAGCTGCTGACAGACGCAAGCCGGAATGGTACTCTCTCATACTTCCTTGTACGGCTTAAGACTTCAGAGGACATCCAGAAAACAGTCCTGCAGACAGTGCTCAGGTTTGTGCCGATTGTGGCCACCGCGATCTCTCTCTCTCGCTTGTGTTCAGTCGACCGTACTGAACGTAGGAAAGCAAGCACAAAATGATGCGACACTGTTATGATAGGAGCGCTGCGGCGGATTTAATGGTTGCGAACTAACAATAGTTACTGAGTTGAAAGTAACAGTATACAGGTTTTCCCCCGTCTACTTGCCTGAATAACTTTCCAAAAACATCCGGTCTCAGGATATTCGGCTTCTAGGGGTCGTAAAATGTTTTCCATACGATAATAAAAGGGTTTGGTATCATGTACTCCACGGGTTCACATTTTGCCTGAGGAAACAAGGAGTTCTGTCAAACTGAGCCCATCGCACTATCGGAGTTCCAACTGTACCCGAGTTTTGGAGTTGAGTGTATTACTAGATGAAGTAGCTTCCCGCAAGGAGGCGTCCAACCCGAGTTTAGTGCAGTTTTTGCTAACCTTCGATACCTGTGGCGTCGACGTGACGTCAGTTCGTCTGTCAATGGTAGAGTTTACATTGCGGTGTTGCAACCTACACTCAGAAACGTTGCCTTTACGCACAGAGGACTTACGAAAGATGTCAGTGTTTGGCCATCATTGTCTCCAAAGCACTGGTCGGGTCTGGTGGGAACATCGAATTAGTAATGTTGATAGTTTTAGAAAGAAACTCTCTCGTGATAGACGAATTACTCACACTTAATAGGTCACGTTGGTCGAGACATGCACATCGCATGTCAGAAGACCCTCTGCCTCGCAGAGCTCAGCCCTGTGCTGAGTGGAAGCGACCGAGAGATGGACCTGGCAACGAAGTACGAAGTAGACAATAACCAGTAAACAGTCGCTTTCCTGGATGAGGATACCAGGACTCAACTCACCAATGGCTAATGACACTGGCAGAAGTGGACCAATCGCGTAGTCAGTACCAGCTGGAACCAACGTGCCTATGGCACATAACTTTTGGCTGACAACTTGAATTCAAATTCCTCTCAAGTGTAATCCCGCTAAATATAGGACAACCGATTCGATGTTAACGAGAACAGGTTGCATTGGAGAAAGAAAACCTACCTTTACCGGGTTTGGGGTTGTGTTTACCATTACCAGACTTGCTCGTCAGCAAGTCAATACACCAGCTCAACATTGTCGCGGCAAACACGCTTGGACCGGTTCCCGCAGGTTGAACGCGCAACGATCGATGCAAATAGTCCACAGCCTCGGTCATTTGACCGGTCATGGCGTAGACCAATGCGATTCCAGCCAGTGTTGTCGGAGAGTCAGGAACCAGACGAAGCGCTATCTGATGCATACCCATCGCACGATCATAGACGCTGTCGAAAAAAGACCAATGCATGAGACGTGGTTAGACAAATTGTGAGCGTTTGTCCACGCACCCCTCCCTCAAAGAATTGCTAATGCGCAATGAGGAGAGCCCGTCGATGATATTTCGAATTCTGTGTCATAGCTCATAAGGTTTAGGTAAAAGCAATATGGCTGTAAAATTCCCGAAACCCTTCGGCGGTTGCCAGCATACACTAAGCTCGGATGAAAAAAGCAAACGAATCGGGCAGTAGCGGGGGAAATTCCCCGCTCTGAAGCTCTGACAGTTAGTAACGAATCAAGTGGAGATAAAAAGCAAAGAGTGAAGGCGGCCACATTACCTTTTAGTTGTAATCGGAAGTTTGAAGTTTCGGACAGTAGAAAACACCAGCCGAAAGAGACAGATGAGGGAACGATTTGACCTAGAATTCGGCTCACATCAAGCGACATCAAGTGTACAGTGTTGCGATGAAACCATACGACACCAAAAACTCAATGGTACGGGCAAATGGCATAACTATCCGTGAGTATTAGAGGTGTCCGAGCAGACAGCTGACCGGAACAAGTGACGTACTTGAGATAACTCAACATCACCGAATGAGCCTACCTACTGAATAGGGGAGAAAGGTCTCATGAGGCTGAACTTTTCGGGAGCCCAGAGTGGCTTTCAGCAAAAGCGAAACTATGTGAAAACCGCTGGGACGTAGGGTAAACAAACATACAGTATACACACAGTGAACAGACCTACCCTAGCTTTCGATATGTGTGCGCCATATTGTTGACCAAAGGTTCCCAGTAGGAGGACGGGACTTGACCAGCAAGTTCACATGCGCGATCATAGGCCCGACAAAAGTGATGAATAGCTTCGGAATAGCTGAACAAACGGAAAATCAAAGCAATTATGGTCATAAGAATATCGACAAAACTGTTTTGGTGAATTATGCCACCAGGTTTTCGGTGGAATATTTGGACTTATCTTGCAAAAGAAACTCAGGCTAGGCCGAGAAAACTAAGAACAACTGGTTCGTACTCTGAGGCACGGCCGCATTTTCAAAGTACGACCGCTTGATCAACAGTGTGTAGAAACTGCACTTCATTCCAGCTAGCGCAGATACACTTGACGTGTCGACTGGATCTTCGAGCAACGACTTGTCAAAAGAAGATCAGGAGGACCAAGACACCACCTGAATATCTACTCTTAAGGAGCTTACCAATCAATAACCAGCGAAGTGATGGACACCGTTTCGGCGTTTATGGTTGAATTCAACTCTACGAAAAACTGTCCCCTAACTGGCAGGAAGCACGAGGGCTGAGAGACTGCCAGGTTGCCCAAGCCCGGACAGGAGAGGTCGAGATGCAGAGGGCGGGTTAGAACCAAGGACCTACCGGTCAGTAAGTTCACACCATAACCACTGTCATCTCGAGCTCCAAAGAATATCTGGGTGCGTCAAACTAAGGCAGTAAGACCGACGAGCAACAGTAGCGACGCACAGGCTGTGTGAAGCAAACCGATTTGGACAGCTTTAAAACAGCAGCAGAGTGTTTGGGAAATGAATGCTGTCTTGAAAATAAAAAAGTACAAAACGATAACAGGAATGAATTGTTCAGCTGCTACTAAGGTAGCAGCTAGAGATACGAAGGCACATTGCACCGGGGAAATGAATCTTCCATCAGAGCTCTGTAAGGCAAGCTAGCTCCCAAGCGAAAGCAACCACACAGCTAAAATTTTTCTTGACACGACATTGCTTACAGCACTGATGAAAATTCTTCAGCCCTATAGGTTGTGTCCTATCAATAAAGGTGGGGTGATCCCCATTAGGGATTTCTCAAGAAACCTGGCTGAAGTAATTTCTTCCGAGGGGGGAGGCATTCGGGAAAATCAACCAAATTCCTGGTTTTGTGACGACTAAATGACTCTTGTATAAATTATTTCATTCTATAAAACAACCGTTACGTTTTTGGTTTTACTGTTTTCTCCTTATCTGACGATGAGGACGCTCACAACAGAGAAGCTAAATGCCGTTTTTTTCCGTGAAAGCCGGTTGATTGAAACAGATGCTGTGCGAATATTTCCGTGGTATTAGCTGCTAGAAAACTTTCTACATGGGTAAAGGGACACAATGCAGCTACTAAAAGGCACGAACCACTTCCTTGTTTGCATACGCAAAAAAACAGAAGGGACAACACAAGTTTACTCTCGGAAGCGTGAAGATCGTAGCACGCAAAAGTACAAGACGAGAGGAGGAATTCATAAAAGCTCCACAAAAGATTCAATCAACCGGCTTATTAAAATCGACCCTGTCTACGAACCGCTAGGAGTGAGGAGAAGCTGACTCAACCTCAATCATCATATCAACAAAAAAACGGAGCACATTGTGGAGGCAAACGAACAAAGGTTCACGGCGGGAGGATCGGAGGTTATCAGGACATCGACCCAACCAGAAGACAGGTCAACCAAAAGGCCAATAGCGATGCTCACCAGAACGATCAATGGTTAGTCCAAGTTGACCTGAGTGAGCAGACCCTGTAACAATCCATGCACACGCAACAACCACGCCATTTCACTGGTAAAGTACCGGTGAATACATCTCGCCTGATGATGAAACGTTTGCAACCAAATTGCCAAACTCAGCTGTCAGACTGCAAGCCCTACGGTTAAGACAGACATACTTCCCATAAGAAGCTAATGTTGGTAAAGTGATCAATTGTTAGACACTCTGCAGTCGAACATAACCCAGGAGAATAAGATTTCCTGATGAGTCATGTACACCTATAAAATGTACAGTCGGGGTTCCAAACTGGATGAATTGTCCACACCTAGAGTGTCGGTATTATCGACTTGGAGAGAAACCAGTTCATAACCAATCTAAGAGCACAAGCCGGAGCATAATGCAGCAGGAACTTACGCGGAATGGACGGGGCAAAGAAGACATTCCGGCGTTCCACCGACATTTGTCAGTGTAATTCCAAGGCGGGCCAACTGAGACGCACATGATCAGCAGACGTAATTTCAAGAAACGTCACATGAAGAGTTCCGTGGCTTCGTCTTTCAGACGATACTCTTCCACCGGTAATCCTTAATAACCAGTCGACGGAATTCCTAGGAGAGTTCTTTTTGAAGAAACACACGAAGGGTGGAAACGAACCAGGGGAGATCATGAATTGGTAGCGAAGTGTGAAAGCCATTACCAGAAAACTCAGTTGCGCCGGTAATTGCCGTCTTCCTGTACGGAGATCCCGAGACGGGCCACATCAAAGGTTGGGAGACATTGTCAGAGATGGCCCAATCGCGCCCCCAATGACGCTCGTGCATCCAAGCGCTGTTGCCTTCACTGCATAGCTCCCTTCCCAATTCCCCCAAATGACAGTCCATTGACAGTGCTGTATTTACGCACGAATTTATCAGCTCCCGCCTCAGATTCGCAGCTACCTACCCTACTTCCCCAAATCATCGATGGACGGAATTGTGGCAGCTACAATCACTGTCCGACAAGTACGCGGTTCCTACAGCTGATGATGATGGTGACGAATAGCCTTACCCTAATGGAGAAGCATCGCATGATGCTATTCTATAAATCTTAACGACTTTCACTTTTCATAACTGCGGTTTCCAATTGAAATCATACTACTCTGAAGCACTCTTACCACTGATCAGAAGAACTAGACCAACCATTATTCCGGGGTAAGCCTCATAATGTTCTGTATTAAATGCGTAAGGTTGAATAGCCAAGCTCGTTAGAAAGTTATAGGAGTGCACTGGAGGTAACCATTAGACACGGTCGAACGGAGATGGGTCGCCATCCCAAACAGCGTTCGTATTTCCTGATTTCTGAAAGGAGCACCTGTTGACTAGTAGTGGAGACGACGTTTGGGGGGATCCGATCTTTTGCCCACCGATCCAGTGGTAGACTTCTAGAGGTCGGGGCAAAGTGGTCCCTTTAATGGGGAGGTCCATATTCGGCCGAGAGAGTCATAGCTTGGATACCACACTCCAATTGAAGGATGAAATGGTACTTGTGAAATCATATTCGGATGAAGGGAGTCATGTGTACCTGTTAACACTGTCTTCATTTGTAAGTGAGTGGATAAATCCACGTACGTATTTGGATTAGTCGAACAAGCGCTTACTTTTGAGCTTGGAATGCCAGTGTACCCAGCTCGTGATGGATAAACGGGTCGCTGGAGTTCAATCGATAGGCCTGCCGCACAAACCGCTCTGCAAGGTTTCGGTTATTGCTTGCGCTATACTCAATTCCAATATACATGATTGGGATGTGTGACCTGGTGAGATGGGGGAGGGTGTGATAAAATGAAATGTGAGCAAATATCACATAAGGTTTGCGGTTAAAGGCATGAGTAAACTCAAAGGCTGACAACACCGATCACAGTATTCCTTCGAATTCTGGTAGGGTGAGAAAGCAGAACTGTGCACCAATTAGTGTCACAAAATAGCCGGTATCAGACTCCATGAGATGCATGCACACGCGTGGTTTGTGCGTGACTTTCGCTGCCCATGACAACAACGCTGATAAAGAAGTGTCCGATTACTGTTGAGACAGTGGTCACTCAAAAACGTTTCTTCAAAAGTCGAAGAATTCTCCTGTCAACAGAAACGTTTGACGGAACGGTGCGGTGACTCACGGTCGACTGACCGGATTCTAGTCAAGATATTAAAACCTTTCATACATATGGACGGACATGCAGAGAAAAACGTGGGAAACATTCGTAACAGCTAGTGATCCTTAGCGACGAATACTAGTGTCGGGGGACGGCAATGAGGTTAGGTTCACCGCTATCATGAATTATTAGAGTAAAAGACACAGTGCACCGACTACAAGAGAGCGGCAATCAGAACAAAGCTTGATTTTCAAAGCAAATAAAATCATACACAACCGCCATCCTAAGCGTTTCAGGTTCAACTGTCGGCCAGTTAGGGTCTCAATGTGACATAAGTACCTACTTACGATATGGATACTAAACTACGTAAAAAATACTAAATAACAATCGTTCAGTTGTGGCACTCTTTCGGTGCCTAGCTGCCATGCCACACGAAGGTTGCACGAGGGCTGGGGTACTTCCAGGTTGCCCAAACCTGGACAGGGGAAGTCGAGAAGCAGAGATCGGGTTCACCACGGACCAACGATAAGTTCGCGCTCTAATCACTGAACCATCTCGCCCCACTAAAATACGTATGGGAGAATAGTTACATCACCAAAACAAAATGAACATGAGTGTGAATAGATGAAAGTAAAGCTTCCAGACAGAAGAACCTGTCACTTCAAATACTGGCCCTGAAATGTCGGATGTTCTCTTCTGAATCTGTGTCATGCTACTCTCCAGGTTGCCTAAAGGATGCGTAGCACATGTGCGTCAAAAGAGCACCACAAACAGGTGGAATGGGCTTTTTTTATCGCAAACGATTGCAGATTGCAACTGGAAAATATCTTGACAAAACACAGAAATGCGCCTTTTCGGCACAGAACACGGAACCGAGTTGAGCTACTTTGCTTGCTTTATTCATACTTTCAAAGTTGACTGCCTCGAGAGAATCTCATTCTACTATTGACCAAACTAGTTGAACAGGTTGTTTAACATCTGTCTAAAGAGTAGGAACAACGCTAAATTTGGTTCGAAAGAGCTGCGCGACCACAACAAGTAGGACATAAGGTTGATGGAAACTCGGGGACTGCGCCTACCTGATGAGCCCCAAGAACGGCGAAACCGGTCATGGGCTAAGAGTTTTCATCAACCTTGAGAGTAGTATCCTTTACGAAAGTATCGGTGAGTTTCGTGCGCATCTGACAAAACCCGCCTGGAGCCAATCAACCTTCAGTCACCCTCACTGGGAAACGGATCCCCATGTAACTAGCGGTCGCACTTTACAGTACTACAAGGAAATACTGGGAGTGTTTTGTGTGCATCTGACACAACCCGCCTAGAGCCAATCAATCTTCAGTCACCCTCATTGAGAAACGGATCCCCAAGTAACTAGCGGTCGCACCTTACAGTACTACAAGGAAATACTGGGAGTGTCTCTTAAGGGGCTGTCGTAGTTGTGATTGAGAGCGAGGGACACATTCTGAATATACTGAAGGAACGTTGTAAAAAGTCCACTACACAAAAATGAGGGGTGCGTGTGTGTGTACAGAACAGTGACTGAATCGTCAGCATCACCTACCCTTGAATAACTTGTGCAGCAGTGCAATAAGATGCAATGGCTTGATCATGCTCCCCGTCTGCCGCGAACGCATGTCCCAAAGCAAGCCAGGTTGGTCCAAAGCGCTTGTCCAATTGTGATGCTTTTCTGTATATGAAAAACGAGACAGTGTGGGGTTTCTAAGCAATAGCAATTTGAGGGATGTCATCTTCATTGAAATCTGAAGGCACTCTGACTCTATCGAGCTTGTTGTCCACATCAAATTTCAACTATCAAGAAATATAATGCTGCTTGTGGCGGGCTAACACTTCCTCTCTATTTGGACTGGGAAAACTGAGTTCGGTTGCGTTGGAAAGCTGGCCACATTTCGGAGGGAATACTGGTTACAAGAATCTCTTCAGACACAGAACGGTGTTTCTTTATAGCGCCTGCAAGTAGAAAACTATGACCCAGAATCCAAGAGGAAATCCTCTGGCTTTGCGATTAAGTTGTCAGACATTTCGTTCACTCCCCGTTTATTGTACTGGCTCGAGTTCCCGACGGGCTGCCAGAGACAGTTTTTAGGGCGCTCTAGGTGGCGCTCAGGCTGAAAGCTCAACACATCGTTGTGGATGATGATGACATGAAAGATCAGGTACATGGGCTTGGCGCTAGTGAGTCTCAATCGGGTTGGACACAAGGAGCACGGAGAACGAGGGACTACTGCAGATTTGATGCCCACTAACGAACCAGCCACAAACCCAGATTGACCAAACTGGCATTAGTTGCCAGTGCCGTCGATCAGTGCCTGCCACTCCTTCCGGAATAACTGTGGACTCTGTTAACACTTTCTACTGATTTCCCAGGTCTACCCAAAATGTGTACATCTTACCTAGCTATTAAGAGACTCGTGTACCCAGAAATGAAACAAACCTAACAAGGCCTCTAGCGTCAATGGCTCTTTGTCGTCTTAAGGGAGTGTGCGAAACCTTGACGAGCGAGCAGGATTTCAACCGCATAGTGGCTGCGTCGACCACATCTTCGCACTCCGTCAAGTGCTAGAGAAACGCCACATTTACAGACGACCCACAATTCTGGTATTTCTTGACTTCAAGGGTGCTGACAGTCAGTTAGGTCAGTGCTGTTACCCACACTTGCTCAATAGGGCATACCTCAGAAGTTGGCGAACATAATCCAATCCTTATACTCCAGTATTTCCGGACGTATGTCTCCCAACCTCTTTAAAAGTTCCCACAGGTATTTCTTACTTCAAGGGTGCTGACAGTCAGTTAGGTCAGTGCTGTTACCCACACTTGCTCAATAGGGCATACCTCAGAAGTTGGCGAACATAATCCAATCCTTATACTCCAGTATTTCCGGACGTATGTGTCTCGCGACCTCTTTAAAAGTTCCCAAACGATAATTGGTGTGCAGCTAGCATTACCAACTCTTCCGTTTTGTCCAACCTCATCGTCAATGGAATAATGAGATGGACGCTGGAATGTCTAAAAAAACGGTGTTCAAACCGTCAGTGATGAGAACTGTATCGGTCTGGAGTAAGTAGATGTAATCCTCATTCTTGAGAACGAAGCTCAAGTACAAGCTCTGTTGAACAAGCTGACCACAGTCATGCTATCTTTCTTCATGCATCTTTCACTTACAAAGTGCAAAGTTGTGCTCCTGAACGAGCAGTCTCTGAACATACCACTTGCAATTCACGGAGAAGCATTAGAGGTTGTGGAGAATTCTACAATTTGGAAGTTGTATTTGCTCTGATATAAGTGTCCAGTGAAGTCAGTGCATGAATCACGCTTATCAATTTGCGTCAATTATGGCGCCAAAAAGGTACATCACTGAGCCTCAAGGGTCGTGAGCAACGGATCACGACAGTAGTTGTGTTGCGATATGGTGGTGGAGAGGCGATCTGATGTTTCTGACCAACGACTTCTCAAAAGTGTCACGGTGTTGAATGGAGTCAATGGATTCATGATGACGTAATTAGAATACAGGTATCTGGTTGTGCAGCAGGTACATTGCTCACGAAGAACATCCAGCACCATCAGCTGAGGTGCCTGAGCCATGAGATACGCATGCCGAAATATCATCCACTGAAACCAGTGCAGTTTTCCGTGTTTCTTTCAGTGGTCCAAACTGTGAAGTGGATAACGTATGACTTGGAAGAAGGGTGTGGAAGAGAATTCAAAGGGTTTGAGTGCTGTTGATGCTGTCCGCATTCCAGGATGGGGTCTTCACGAGCCCCCCTGAACAATTAGCTGGATGCATTGCAAGAAGTGACGATTTATCGATATCACTGGCGATCTTGCTACTTGTTTCTCCGGAGACTGTCTGATTGAGCACCTAAGAATACCTGCAGCAGGCCACCCTTTTCTCTTTTGTCACTTTAGCGCTTTAACTATAATCAGGCGAACTTCGCCGCTGGACAGCAGTGAAGCACCCGTGTCAACACAGATGTCAGTTTCTGATGAAGATGGTGATCGGCGGTTTGTTGGAAAACGTGACCAGAACACGTAACGGTTGATCCGCACAATTCACTCGTTAAGACGAAGCTTACTCAAGTTTTTCACATGTGCACAGTTTAACAAATTCCAATGAGTAACTCAGCCAGTACAGTACTTAAAGGGTCATCAGGTTGGATGAGGACTTACAAAAGATGCCGTCGAGCAAGTTCGTTTCGCTGCGTACAAAGATAGTAACAGCCTACGGCAAACCAGGAAATCTACAATGTGATTAAAATGGGACGATCAACTGCTCATACTGCGTTCGAAGGGTAGACGTTCATCAATTTGTACGCAACCCGATAGAGCTCTGAAGTGAAAAAAGATGACAGAGTTCGTCAGTCTGAAATGGGGCAAACATACCATTCGGTTTGTCCAGTTCTTTTAGGACAGAAATATGAATGGGTAAACAGGACAAGTTGTACGGATCGATACGTATCACTCTGTAAGAATGGACGTCACAGGCGAATGGGAAAGCACATTTTACTTGGATGTGAGTTCATAACACTGCTGGAACTGACAAAGATTGAGCATGCGCCCAGCCCAGTTTATCACCACATCGACGTTTTCCTTCAGTTCTTCAAATTCTTCTGGCACGGTACTCAGCATGTTTGAATGCTATAGGTGAGAACGTCAAAACATATTGAGAATAGCCCCCACTCACCTGGTTAACCTTATCCTCGTACAAAAACTCCACCAATTTGGCCATCTTTGGATCAAGCTGGCCGACAAAATCTAGATCAGCAAACAAGCAAGCCTCTAAAGTTGCGCATCCTGGTTAATTTATGGGGCATGAACTTACCTTCTAATGGTTCAACGGCTTGGAAATGGAATAATTTCTCAAATGCTTCATAACAAGTGACATCAAGTACAAGGGCTTCGCGATAATGCTGAATGGCCAAAGTACGGTTTTCGAAACTCTCGTGGATTTTCCCCTTCAGTAGCGCTATACTACTCTGAAGCTGTTCAGGGTCAGCTAGTTAGGTCATAAAAATGGCCGCTATACCGTTTTATATGTGAACCCACCGAGGAGTTCTTCTTCAGTTGAAGAAGAATCCGAATAACTACTTCTCGTTCGAGTTGGTTTTCCCGCTTTGTACGAGGCAATGTTGGGGGTGTGGCGTTTTGTGGGTACACCGGTAACCAGAGCTGTCGCGCTGGAGTTAAGTAAATGAACTGAACATTTGTCAGAGTCCTCGAGAATATTGAGCGCCTCCTCAAATTCAGCACAAGCATAATGACATTGCGCGATAAGGTAGCGGGTGATCAACCATTGCTATATGTCTGGAAGTGATCGGGGTCTGAAAAGGTTATACTACCATCATATTTTTTCGACTGGTCAGTAGAGAAATTGCCCGGTGGTACTGTTTACCATAGTACAGAGCTTGAGCAAATAGAAGAACATCTTTTGGATTATCTGTTGAGTAACAATGGGTGAGAATTCGGCAAAATGAGCTCACTTTTTCCAAGACAGCATAGTTTGTCCGCCCAAAAACATGCTGTCGCATACTGTTGCTGAAGATGGAAGGAGTGAAATAACAGGCGAGATGAATAGAAACGTAATGGAGGACGTACGTAATACAAAAAACCGGCTGCGAATCTTCTCGAAGAGAAGTAAACAAGGACCGGTGAAGGTGAAGGGTAGACATAAGAACTTGGTCTTCTTAATTCACATTTTATCAGAGTGTTAAGTACTACGGGTTCTGAAAATCAAATTAGATCGTGATACACGAGGCGACACGATCCGGCATTGGCTAGTGAAGGGACAAGGGCGTCCGTTAGAGATGTTGGACTTGGCGACTGCAAAAAGGTGGACTACTAAGACCGTAGCGGGGTTTGCGTAATCCATCCCGGATGGGTAGGCCAGTGGCAAACACACAGCGACCCAACAGCAAACCAATATACCAGACCTATCTCATATCTCTATGGATGTTACACCATGACCAGATGGCTCAGTGGTCCGTGGTTCATGGTAAGCCTTCAAACGATAAGCCCCAAAGTTCAACGTGGTAAGCCGGCGATGCTGTGAGGGTATGATCAAAGATCTGATAACCAGTGGTGAGGGTTACCTGAAGTGGCCACCTTTGGGTCACTGTTGTTACGTTTTCCCCGACTGTAAATGCCCCCTCCTACTGCTTTGGATACTCCAAAATGATAAACTTGCAGTAATGTTAGAGGCTACACTGGTGTGATTTAGGAATGATACGGACTGTCAGTCCACAATACACATACATTGAGACTTGCCTACCCTGAACATCGTTGTGGTATGGTGATGTCTTCATAAATACCTCTGTTGTATTGTTAGTTGTGTAGGTCATGGTTGTACGAGGGCTGGGATACTGCCAGGGCGCCCACATCCAGACTGGAGGACGATTAGGGTCCTCAACCAGAGCCTTTGGCTCAAAAGCCTAACCGCAAGGCAGCGGTGTTTGGCGGGGAAATGCAAATGCATTACCTTTTCTACGGAATAAGTCGCCATACATGTTCCAACCCCCAACCTGGAGAGCCAAGAGACTGTGTTCGTCAGACCTCTAACCATTGACCAACCTGGTATGAGAGATTCTGCGAGTGTCGCGCGGACACCCCCCAGTATAGCTCAATGGGTCTCCGAGGTGCACAAACCGCCACACGACGGCAAGGTCCAGTCTCTTCGTGACAGACAAATCGTTCAGCTGTAGCACCCTCTCGGTGCCTAACTGCCATGCCACCCGAAGGTTGCACGAGGGCTGGGATACTGCTAGGTTGCCCAAGCCTAGACAGGGGAAGTCGAGAGGCAGAGGCCAGATTCGAACCACGGACCTTCCGGTCAGTAAATTCGCGCTCTAACTACTTGGGCCACCTCGCTCCCCACCTCTGTTGTTCGCCTTTTTGCATCAGTTCATTGGGTTTAGGCTGATGAAATCACCTTTAGGGGATTCAAACAGCACTAAATAACGGCTCGAGGAATCTGTCGATGTGCGGACAAGCACAGACTAATTGCTAAGCGGATGTCCACTGTATGGGTACTGAAGAAACACATGGGTTAGCAAAGTCAGTAAAGTCCACAGCAGCCAGCGCGTTCGGTTTTAGCTTTAGATGTACATACGCATTGGAACTAGTAGAAGACGGTCACTCGAACGAATGCCTGTTGTTCGCCTTTTTGCATTAGTTCATTGGGTTTAGGCTGATGAAATCACCTTTAGGGGATTCAAACAGCACTAAATAACGGCTCGAGGAATCTGTCGATGTGCGGATAAGCACAGACTAATTGCTAAGCGGATGTCCACTGTATGGGTACTGAAGAAACACATGGGTTAGCAAAGTCAGTAAAGTCCACAGCAGCCAGCGCGTTCGGTTTTAGCTTTAGATGTACATACGCATTGGAACTAGTAGAAGACGGTCACTCGAACGAATGCAGGCGGATAAAGATAAAAATCAAACAGAAGAATGTGCAGTGGTCGCTTCAAAGCAGTGAAATCCCTCAATTTATTTAGTATTCGGGTAGTGGATATTGGGACGGTCGTCCAAATAAGTCAACTGTTGAAACACTTATTGGTAAATTCGGTGAACGGAATCGTAATTGTAACCCCCCTGACAGCCAGCCTCCCACTAGTTTCCAGTAATCTCGCTTCACATATGTTAACCATAGAACCTGAGTACCAAACTGAGTTCCAATTGCCTTGATCACCCGTTGGCTGCCCCTACCTCAGAATCGACTGTGGACCAGTTCAAACAGCACGTTCATGAAGAACTAAGGCTCATTGTTTGGCTAGAGAGCAGGCTGTTTCATAGCCCTACAAAGTATAGAAAAGCATGGCCTCTCAGGCCGAAGCGGTACATTTTCCACGAAGTTTCCAAGACTAGTGTACCGAATCTGTGATTTTAGCCATCAGCGAAGGCTCTACCAGCAAGGATGATTTCATTCAAAAACAGTTAGTTCTGCAAGAAAATGCCTACAAAAGTTGTTCAATGAGAACAACCAAAAGGGACCAAAGGGACAAGTGAAGTCGTTCGTGTTGCAGCAAGAATGAAAGTGGTAAAAGCTCGTACGGTCCTATCAAAACTGCAGATTCGACGCTACTGTCTTTGAGGCGATGAATACAGCACAGTGTCAACTAAAAAACGGTGCCAAACGGTAGCTATGCCTTTCGTAACAAAGTACCACGAGGGGACAAAGTTGCCGTCACTTTTGTCTCGTACACACATACACATACATACATAAACATAAACGTAGGACGAGAACACTTACCAGTTCAATACTGGATGTCACCCTGCTCCTCAGGGCGTTGAGTACATCATCCATCGTACAATGTGGAGGATGAAAGGTATAGCTAAAATAGAAGATCATATAACTTTATACGAGTGTGGAACATGATGATGCGTAATCCACATCGTTCAAGCTGATCTCCTGTGGTTACCAAACTCAATACGAGGCTTTTTTGAAAATGAGCAATATCACCGACTCTCCCCAGTTGACTGGGACAGACTCCTCCCAAATGCAAGCAAACAGACCCGATAAGCCCCGACGGAGGACTTCACCCCACATTTTTTAAGAATGTGGATGATGGCTCATTGGGTCCAGAAGCTCGAAGGGACTTGAGAGAACATATGCAGTCGAAAACCTCCGAAAATAGAAAAGCATCAAGCGGTAGCGCTCTTTCGGCGCCTAGCCGCCATGCCAGCACGAGGGCTGATATACTGCCAGGTTACCCGAAGGTAGGTAAGAAATAAAAATAAATCATTCAGCTGTGGCACCCTTTCGGTGTCTATCTCCCATGCTACACGAAGGAGATACGAGGGCTTGGATATTGCCAGGTCGTCCAAGCCTAGACAGCGGAAGTCGAGATGCAGAGATCGGGTTCCGAACCACGGACTTCCGGTCAGTAAATTCGCGTTCTAACGACGAAGCCACCTCGCTGCTCGTGGCCACGTTAATTATTGTAGAAAGTGCCGGTTGAGGCGTTCTTCTTAAGAAAAATGTTTATCCAAGAGGGTCACTCCAGCCCTATCCTTGACGGGGATCGGATGGTTTCCTGAGACCGTGGTGCCGTGCCACAGGTGAAATTCCCAGCACTATGCAAAGAGGCAGCAATCTCGTCCCAGTATGAGTTCACATCTGATGGTGGAGTATTTGGAAGAGACTCTAGAAGACGATTCTGGTAAGTTCGTTTAACATCCAGATCCGCCAGTCTCTCAGTTGCCGAGATTCGTCCTGTTATATCTGCTGATTCACCAATCTGTGGTATTTGATGCTAACCTGCTCCAGTGCCCAGTGCCTGAAAAAAGACTCAGAGAAGGGAACACAACAGCTATATTCCGAACAAGCGAGTGCGAGAGCAAAAGTTACAACGGCTCCACGCTATTTAAAGGGGACTTTCTGACACTGATCCAGGCTGTCTGGTAGGCGTTGGTGAACATTCGGCAACATCGATCGTGCCTCTATGACGAATGTGTCCCAAGATCACATTCGGCCGTGCTTCTGTGACGTGCATGAGGACTCATTGGCTTTACTGAATTGATCGAATGATTGACTGGCCTGGGTGCTTGCCGGCTTTCCAGTTGAGCTTTTCCTGATAGGTACACATCTTACGCGGCCCTGTAAAATGTAGGAAGAAGCGATTCCGGACGAGCGCATGGTCGGAGTCCACGAATGTGTCCCAAAACAACCGACAGGCAGTTGTTGATCCGCGCCATCGGTGACTATTGGTAATGTGATTTATTCGAGTTCATGGCCAGCCCGCCGTTGGAGGGCACCATGTGGTCAGATGGCTTCAGTTATTTTGGAAGTTAGCACTACATCAAAACAGCCTGAGATCATCACAGAGCTGGAGCAATTATTCACCACTGTCCGTACGTACCAAGTCCGATCCACGTCGGATACGCCAAACCTGTTCACTCGTGCGTTCGATGTCCACCGATGTCCCTAACCAACCCCCTTCCACCACACAAGCAAACATCACTGGGTCATTTGATTGTCAGTTATCTGACCGAAGGACCAAGTGGTTAGAGCGCGGATTTACTGACAGAAAGGTTCGTGGTTCGAACCCGAACTTTGCCTCTCGAATTCCCCTGTCTAGACTTGGGCAACATGGCAGTAACCCAGCCCTGGTGCTTCCTTTTGGTGGCCTGGCGGTTGGGCACGGAAACGGTGTTACAGCTGAACGAATTCATTCGCCAATTTACTCGCAAAAACGTCGATTGGAAAGATGGGTCGAGAACTTCGGAAAACAGTTCAACTGGCCTCCTGCTGCCCTGCCACTCGAAGGAAGCACAAGGGCTGGGATACTTCCAGGTTGCCCAAGCCTAGACAGGGTAAGTCGAGAGGCCGAGGTTGGGTTCAAACCACGGACCTTCCAGTCAGTAAATTCGCGCTCCAACCACTTGAGCTATCCCG